TGTGTGTATTGGGCCGGAACCAGATCCATGTATATTTTTTTTTTTTTTTTTTTTGGTACCGGGGATTGAACTTGGATCCTTGCACTTATGAGGCAGGTGGTGGAACCACTGAGCTAAATCCCAAGCCCAGCTCTGCCTGGGTTCAAGTAAGAAAGACAGGAAAAGGACAGGGAAAAAGAGATTAATATGACTTCAATTAAGGTTTTTAAAATCCTTTGGGGTTTAAGTGCAGTGGGAGACTAGGCCTGGCCAGTGGACACCAAGCCTCCCATGAGCTTCCCTGCTGGCCTAGTCTGCAGCAGCCCTGAGACTGCTCCATGCCCCGCCCGCCCCCTCTGGAGCCATGGCCGGAAACCAGCGCCACATCCTGTCTGCAAGAGCCCTTGGGGCGTCCAGCCACTTAGAGCAGGCGTCACTCGTCACCTCCACTCTGGGTGTCCCCAGGATCTCAGTGTGGCAAAATTGGGGGTGCAGCCTTCCTTGCCTACGTAGTGTTGGAGCCTGGATCAGCGCCCCTGATATCCGGGTCCCCATCTCAGGCCAGCACTTCTGGGGTGTACCCCGGTGGAGGGCCATCTGTGCACCCCTGAGCCTCAGTCTTTACATCTGAAAACTGAAATGTAATAATGGACCCTCCCCAGACCCCTGAGACAGGAGTCAACCATGCAGAGGCCAGTTTGGGGCCAGCAGCAGGGAGCTGCTAGGACCCCCTGCCTCCCTGTGCCGCAGGCAGGGCAACGCGCCTGTGCAGTTGACAGGTGCCCCTGGAAAAGCGGGCCATGCATGTGAATGTTTTTTCCCAGGTGTTTTCCAAAGCGGGGGTGGTGAGGAACTGTTCTGTCTCCAAGAAGAAAAACAAAGCAGGTACGGTGCCTGAAACCTCAGAGAGAGACCAGCTGTGGGAGGGGCTGGGGCTGGGAGCAGAGCTGAAAGGATAAACTTCACAGCTGCATGAAATACTGGGCAAAGGTGGATGAGGATGCATGGAATTTCATGTCTGAGGGCGAAATACAATGAGCGATCTGTTTTTGGTGTCCGTGAACCCTCTCACACAGGTGTGCACACGCGCGCGTGCACACAGTATCTGATCAGAGGGGAAAGCAGCCAATAGCCAATAGTGAGGCCCCTCCTTAGCAGACTACTGTGTATCTGAGATTCAGAAAAGGAGTATGAGCCAGGCGTGATGCTGCACACCTGTAATCCCAGCCCTCAGGAGGCTGAAGCAGGAGGACTGCTTCTAGTTCAAGGCCAGCTTGGGCTACATAGCGAGACCCTGTCTCAAAAAACAGGAGAAAAGAAAGGGAAAGACAAAGTAGCTATGACCAGTGGGCAGGAAGAGTGCGAGGAGGAAGCCTTCCGTGCGTGTGTTCATCGAATGCATGACGCGTGAAAACAGGGCCTGGGGAGAGACGTCCCCGCTGCTCCCCGCGCTGGTCCCCTCTGTCAGCCGCATCCCCTCCCAGGGCAGAGTCCTGTTGTAAGTTAATTATCAGGTCAGTCTGGTCAGCAGCCTCGGGCGTCCGTAGAGCCTCATTGGCAGAGTCCTCTGGACACCTGGTCCTGAACGGAGCCGCCGAGATCATCTCAGGCTGGCAAGAGAGTGCAAAGAGAAGGGACAGTGACGCAGATGCCAGGTCCTGGGCTTACCTGTGCCCCTCTGGCGGGGTTTCCTCCCTCCCGCAGGCGCGCTCCTGTCCATGGGCTTCGGATTTGTGGAGTACCGGAAGCCGGAGTACGCACAGAAAGCCCTCAGGCAGCTCCAGGTAAAAGGGGCTCTCAGGGCTTGGCTGGGGGACATGATGGTGTCTGAGTCCATGTTGTCCTGGGCCTGTCACTTTATCAGGTCTCTAGGGGACCTTTCTCAACCCTCTCATTCACGGAGCAGTGTGCTGGCATTGGGGGGCAGTGCATACTACGGGCCTGTGGCAGGAACGGTAAGGTAGGGATGAGGTTTGTGTGTTTGAGAAGCTGAAGAGGCAAGTGTGGGAGGCAGAGTTGTAGGGTAAGCAATCGGGGTGCAAGTCTGCGGGCCAGATCCTGTGGGCCACTTAAAGGACTCCGGATTTCATCCTGCAGATAGCCAGAGACCATGGGGGGCCCATAGCACCCTGGGGAGGGACCTGACTTGAGCTTCAGGGCTCTCTCTTGAGCTGCTGCATGGCCAGCAGGTGGGCAGAGCCCACTGGGAAATGCTTGAGTTGCTCAGGTGAGAGACACAGTATCCTGGGCTGGGTTGCAGCTGTGAAGCCGGGGAGAAGGGCAGGGCGGCATTTGGACAGGAATTCGATGCCCAGTGCAGGGAAACACCCTCCCGCCAGGCTGAGCGCGGGCAGCACCCCAGAGGCCACTGGGCCTCGCTGGAGAAAGTGACCTGCAGCTCCGCATGATGACACCCCGTGGGCCCTGGCAGGGGTAAACAGTGCTGTATTGTTCTGGGTTTTGTTGTGTCTTTAAGAAGCTTCAGAAATCTCACCTTGTAATTCGATATTGCGTACTCACTTAGCTGAAATTCAACTCTGCCGACTACATTGTGCAAAACTCCACTTATACGCAGGGAGCGAGCTGTGCGCATGGCTGTCAGCACGAGCACCACCACCAAGGCCTAGTGCTTCCCGGGAGGTCTGAGGCTTTTCCAGCGGCCATGAGCTAATGTGCCCGCTTTGCCTGGAGGGACAAAGCCAGAGCCCAGCCTAGGGGCACCTCGCTGCAATGTGGAATATTTTTTAAAAGGCCTACAAACTAAGCCAATCTCCACAGGCCAGACCTGAGAGGCGCCTGCCCCTCTGTGCCCTGACAGGGACCTCCTGTACAAAGGCCGAGGCTCATTCGGGCCGGGGACATTGGAAGGCTGGGTCTCTGCCCTTTCGAGCCAGGGGCTGTGTTCTGTGGAGGCCGGAGGTGCAGAAGAGTTAGGGCCAGGGCTGAGCCACGCTGTCTTACCTCTTAGGGTCACATCGTGGACGGCCACAAGCTGGAGGTGCGGATCTCAGAACGAGCCACCAAGTAAGTCTCCCACGGCCCCTACTGCTGAGGTGGGCACTGGATCCTTCTGTCCTTGATGCTGGCTGCCCCGTGGGGTGTGTCAGGGTGCAACACCCCCATCTAGTGAGGAGTCTCCCTCATTAAGGGCCCAATTAAAGTTGGCGTTTGCCAGCTCTGACCCCCAGTCCCTCCTGAAGTGGGACCGTGCTAGTCCTTTGCATGAATTCATTTTTCTTCATTTTTCGGATACTCTATTAGCCTATGTTGGCGGCTCACAGAGTTCAGGGTCCTTGTGGGGAGTTGGTCCATAGACGTAACACATCTTGGCTCTTTCATCCCCTTCGCCCCATCGCTTGGTCCCCTTCCCTTTCGCAAAAGATCTATCTCCCTATTTCCCACCACTTTGCTCTGTATTTATACTTTGGGTTTCTCACGTAAGAGAAACCATACAATATTTAAGCTTGTGCATCTGATTTCTTTCACTTAGCACTGTGGTCTTAAAGTGCGTCTGTTTTCCTAACAGTGACACATTTGTCCTTCTTTGTGGCAGAGTAGTACTCCATTGTGTGTTCTTTTTTTTTTTTGTCTGTGTTGTTGACAGGTATATGGGTCACTTCCAAAATACAGCTCTTACGACTTGTGCCGCTGTGAATGTGGGTGTGCGTGTGTCACATAATACAGTGTCTTTAACTCTTTCGGGGAAGGTACATAGAAGGGGAAGAGCTGGTTGAGTTCTTTACACACCACTTTCACAGTGAAAGGAACAAGTGTGGGAGAAACAGGCAGTGAACAATCATCGCAGTAGACGTAAACCCAACAGAGCTACGTGGTGCTGCCACCTCAGACGAGGCCTAAGGAAGCTGGAACGCCAACGGTTCATTTTATGGGGCTGTCTTTCAGAGAGCAGGGCAGGTAACTGAAGGAGACCCAGCAGGTGCGATGGACAGCATGGCCCGTCTGCCCGGGGCCCCCATCCCCCCCACACAGAGGGGCGTCTTAGGGTTCAGCTGTGCTCCTGGATCCACCTGCTTCTCATCCAAGCCGCTCACACTGAGGGGCTCCCGACACGGAGCTCGCACCCCATGAGCCGTTAGCCCCGCCTCATTTTCATCTCCCCACCTTGGGCACCAAAATGACCACTGCAACAGTCCTGGAGCTGCTACGAGATGTTCATTGGACATTTCCAGCAAGTTGGCCCTTGTGATACTTGAGCAAATTAGCTGCCAACAAATCGACCGCGTGCGGCTGCTTTTCCTTCCCTGTGATTTTAGCCCTGCCTGTGAGTCCAGCTCGGGGCAGCTCTAGGAGTCTTCATCCTTCAGGGTTTGCCCTGCTGAGCACCCTGCGTGGGAAGGCCTGGATCAGGCCTCGGGAGTCCTTTGGGGACTGTGTGACCTTGGGCAGGAGACATAGCCCATAGGGCAAAATTGACTCCAGGGGGCTGTGAAAGCGCGTGGCTCATGCCTTCCCCTGAGCACTCCACCAGGGGGCCCGGAGCAAGCCCTGCCTGCTCCTGCCTCCTGACCAACAGTCCAGTCACAGTCGCTGAGATGCGGTGCCCGGCACGCACAGCTTAACAGGAGATGTGGATTTTGGCTCCCGTCTTAGTGGTCTCAGGCCTTGCGTGGTCAACTTGGCTCCGAGGCAGGACAGATGATACAGGACCGTGGTGGAGGAATCACTGTTCACAGCAGGGCAGGCAGGAAGCAGGGCACCGGGGAGGGCACCAGGAAGGACATGAAGCCTCAGGGTCCCGACCACGGTGAGCGACTCTTCCAGCCAGGCCCCACCTCTGCACAGGGGTCACTCTCAGCCCCGTGACACAGGCGCTTCCAGAGGCTGCCTGGAGCCCGCAAGATGTGAGGAGGACATCTAGATAGAAACCACGACACCGGCGTCCGTGACATCGCGTCCACGCTCAGCAAATGCGTATAGGAAGCCAGAGTGCCCAGACTTCTGCTGGGCACCACACTGGCATTTGCTGGTGGCATTCACATCCCAGGTGGCACTGTTGGACAGACTCTCCCATCGTGACAGGATGTTCCACACCCATGCTATCCATCAGCAAACCACCCACACGACCACGACAGTAAAAGGCCACATCCTCACGTGTTCTGGGGCGTGGAGTCCAGAGCAGTCCTGTTGGGGGGCTGGCTCGGCCTCTGGGAGGGTTAGGGGTGTCCCGCATGGTCACAGCTCACCCTGGGCCTGCTCAGTGTCTCGGTGATGTGACACTGGCTTCCCCAGAGGGAGCAGGGAGGAAGAGCAGTGTCTTGCATCAGCTGTGTCACAGTCACACAAGGTGGCTTCGGTTGCCCTGAATCGGTGAGGAGGGGCTCAGAGGGTCAGGAGGACCAGGAGGCAGGGTTGCTGGGGACCAGCTGGCAGTGGGGTCTTCAAGTTTCATCCTAATTCAGACTGAAGCAGCCACCTTTGTCAGGGGCTGCTGTGTGGGACAGCACTGCCCCAGGCGACAGGACCGACGACACAGGGAAAGGTGGTTGGAGGTGAATGAACTGTAGTCAGGGTGCATGCTGGGGCTGCCATGTGTGGGGACTGGGAGGCCTCTGAGGAGGTTGGGTGGGCGGAGTCTCGACAGTCACGGTCCCCAGTGGCCGAGTTGACCACTGCCCACCAGTGGGTACGGTGCCCAGTTCCCTCTCATGAAGTCTTGGCCACCCTTTCCGCTTCTGAGAAGTCACATGCAGGGTCGCTGAGCCTCTTGCCTGAGGTGATGTAGAGTCTGGGGGGCTGGCACCTGGCATCTGTGCCTCGCTTGGTGCTGCACGGCCTTGCTCACTGCTGTACCCCGCTGGGAGCGGGAGGTGGCGCGGGGCTGTGGTAAGACTGGCCCAGAACCCCGAGCCAAGAGCTTCTCCTGCCACATGGCCCATCTCTGCTCAGGCCCCCAGGTTCTCCGCTGAAGTCAAAGTGTCCCTAGCTAGGCCTTGGGAACCACCAGTGTCTTTCAGAGAAGATAACGGGATTGGCTTTGGTGGGAAGCCGTCACTTCTCCTCCGATGCCGTGGCTGTTTCAGGGGAAGACAGTTCCAGTTCGTGTCCCCTGGAGGGCCTGGCTTCCTCCTCTTGGAATAAGTCCTCTTCCGCACATACTGCTCGGTCCCTCACCTGAACGTCGGCAGGAGTTTCTGTTCTGCTAGAGGTGGGGTGGGTCAGAGTAGGTGGGGGCCGTGGGCCACTCCGGGAACCTGAGCCCCTTTCCCTCTGACCCCAGGCCAGCCCCTACGTCTGCCCGGAAGAAGCAAGTTCCCCAGAAGCAGACAACCTCCAAGATCCTGGTGCGGAACATCCCCTTCCAAGCTGACCGCCGCGAGATCCGGGAACTGTTCAGGTGAGGCGCGCGGGTCGGTCCGTGGCACTCCTGCCCGCTGTAGCCTCGCTGAGGATGGGGCCTGGCCTGGAAGGCTCCACTGCAGGCCAGCACAGTGGCTTTCCAAGGTCATCTTCCGGCTGCCGTGGATTGGCCTTAGAGCAGTGGGAGAAGAGTGAGCAGCAGGCCTCTCTGTCCCCTCCACACGCCGCAGCGGGGGCTCGAGCCTCTGAGGTAGAACTCGGCGCCCCGTGCCATTTCAAGTGGCCGTCGTTGGTTTGGTCAGGTGCTGCTCCACCTTTGCACTCTCACGTCACCTGGTGACTTTTCTGAATGTCCCTCTGCCAGAGGAGGGTGTCTGGTGGGCGAAGCGCGGTGGGACCTGCATGCCGGGGTGCAGCATTCCGCCCTGTGCTTGTCAGTTTAATGTAAAGAGCAAGAGAGTGAAGCCGGTGGAAAGGCCGACTGCCGTCTTGCTGGGAGACTGCAGGTGCAGACGGAGTCCCCAGTGTGGGAGACGGGAAAGAATCGTCTGTGTGCGGAATGCACCCCTGTGTGGTGTAGAGACTGGGAAGCCGTTCGGGGCCTTTGCTTCTGAATCCTCTTGGTCGTCGTCAGCCTCCTCCTGTCCCCTCCTCGTCGCAGGTCATGCGCCTGTGGCACCGGCTCACAGACGTGGCCGGCCGGAGCTGACGCAGAGGCGTCGTCCCTTCGGGTGCCTGAGAAGCAGGTCTCAGCCTGCAGAGACGGGGCACAGCCTGGGGACCCGGAGGTCCACCGCCCCGCACCTGGGTAGATCAGGCAGAGGGGTCCTGAGGCCTCGTCACGGTGAGGTGTGTGTGGAGCGCCTCTGCTCATTTTAACGTGCTTCTGCTGTTTGGAAAGAGTCCAATTTAAGAACTACAAGATGAGACCAAGCTCGCGAAGGACAGTGTATGTTGGTCAGGAAATAACATCCCTCAGAAAGTTCCTCTCAGTTCGCAGTCTGTGTAGGATGACACTTATCCCGGGAAACAAAAGAGCGCCGGGGAAGGGAAGGCGCTTTGTTTGATCAGAGTATCGCATTTATCTTTAGAAGGCACTAGGGAATTAGTGTCCACCAAGCATAATCACATGCAGCGTCTCTTCACCCCGCCGTTCTGACAGGCCTCCTCCTAGACCCTGAAAAGGTGCGGCCTTCTTAGGGGGGCTCTACCTTGCTTTTGTTTGCTCCTGCTGGCGGCGTGGGGCAGTTCCTCTTGGCGGGCAGCAGGGGTCGCTGTGAGCCTGCTCAGGGACCAAAGCAGGTGCAGAGATGCTCCAGACGAATTCAGACAAAGCCACGGCCAGCAAAGGTCACCTGCAGGGGTGAGCTCAGGGTTTGGGGTACTTGGTCTGCTGCATTGTGTCAGGCAGGTTTTACGGGTCTGTGCTGCCCAGTGTGGTAAATTCTCAGCCCCCAGCGGCTCTCAGGTGTGCTAGGCTCTGTGTGAGGATACACCCTTCATGTGGCCCTATGTAGAAGGGACAGTACTGTCCCTTTTGCCCCACAGGGAAACTGGAGCCCTGGGAGGTGAGGAGCTTCCTTGGGCTACACAGCTGAGCCAGGGTGTGGATTTTGGGGAGTCTGACCGACACATCCTCTCTGCCCCCAGATCAGGAAGGTGCTGTCGTGGGAACTGACACGGTGAACCTGTCCTTTGGCCAGGCTCTGTGCTCGGCGCTGTGTCAGGAGAGACCCAGGCTCCTTTCCACTGCCCGGAGGACCAGGGAAGGATAGGAGCAGCTGGGGGGCAAGCTCCTTCCAGGATGCTGGGGAGTAGGCAGGGGCAGTTCCTGCAGGGACCTTGGCTGGGGGTGCGAGGAGCCCTTCCTAGACCCGGGCAGCATTTCTGGGCACCTCCCAGATGCTCCGGCCTCCCACCAGACCCCAGTGACCGGCGGGTGCTGGGCACACTGGATACAGGCCCGGGGTCCAGGGGGACGAAGGGCAGTCATCCTGTGGAAACTCAGGACAGGGATTCCTCTGCTTTCCCTGCCGCTTGTCCTCTGGGCCTCAGTTTCCCCTTGCGTAGAATAGTTGTGCTGATGCTAGAGCTAGCCTGTCTTGCGACTGCTCACAGTGGCGCAGCTGTGAACATCAGTCATCACCGCTGTTACACACCGGGCCCTGCACAGTGTCTCGGTGCTTTGTGTGGTCAGTGTCCCCGTCCCCACGGCCTGCAGGGTGTTACTGTTGCTTCCAATTTGCAGCCAAGAGACAGCTGGTTAACAGGTGGAACTGTGGGGTCACAGCGCAAACCAGGGAGCAGGGTCCAAACCACACCAGACTCCCGACCCCAGACAGAACCCACGTCTCCAGCAGCAGGGAGTCCTTGAGCCTCTCCCAAGCACTTCCTCTTCCCCTGGCTGTATGCTGGCCTCCTGAGCTGCCACTCTGACCCCTAGGGCAGGTTCTGGGAGCCAAGTCACCGCCAGCAGCTGAGCGCCCATTAACACTTGTCTCTTCTGAATGAGAGCCTCGGTATGCAGGTGTAATTGCAGGGTTGGCACTTTGCGATAAGCAAGTGGGTTTGGGTTGCAGTTTGGGCACTCGTCTCTGAAAGTTTCACCATCGCTGGTCTAGGACGTGGTCAGCAAGGACCAGGAGGGTCCAGCCCAACCTGTTTCTCCACCGTGTAGAAGGCCGTGGGGAGACATCCAGGGTGTCCCAGACTGCGAGTGCACGTGTTTGCTGCAGTGCTTATTTCGTTCCTCCTGACCCTCAGGCGGGCCAAGGGATGCCAGGGCAGGGCCGGGTGTGCCCAGGAAGAAAGTGGCCAGGCCTCTGTCCTAGGCAGAGCTGGAGCCATTGGGGGGCTCATTCCGCCCATGCTGCGTGCATTGACCCTGCTTAGAGAGAGGTCCCGGGATGCATGACAGCAGAGATGCCTCAGCTCCCACAGCTGCGCAGCCAGTGTGCCAGGGCAGCGGACAGGCGCTAGCCACAGAGGTGAAGAGCTGTTCCCAGAAGGACCTTGGCTCGTGGCGGCCTCACCCTGCACACCTGGGGCCTGTGTGGTCACACAGGGTCACACCCGCAGTTCAGGGTCCTGCCATCGCCATCTTGAAATTCTTCGGCTTTGAACTTGAGGCCTCTGGTTTTCATTTGGCACAGCCCAGCCTGCAGGCCGACAGGAAAGATCAGCACGCGCAGGCCGGAGTGCCGCCCAGCAGTCTGCCGGCCTCGGTTCCTGCACTGGGACGGGCAGGGGAAGGCTTGGCCTCAGGGCAGGTGGACAGACTGCCAGGCAGGGACTGACTGACACTGTCTCCTCTATAGCTTGAAAAGCCGGGCTCCCCCAAGGCCCGACCTGTCCCGCTTCCTCCCTTCTGCCGTCAGCAGCTTGGCCTTCCCAGACGCGGGGGTCAGGGCCACAGTGGGCATTGGGGAGCAGTGGCCTCGGTTGGTCTTGGCGATTGGCTGCTCCTTGAGTGTCTCGAAGAGGGAATTGCACGTGCGCTCTCAGCAGGGCAGCGTGTGTCACGAGTCCATCTCCGCTCTTGGAAGGTCCACAGGTGCGTGGAGAGCCTGAGCCCAGTCCCTGGGCGTCCTGGGTCCCTGGTCACCTGCTGCTCCCTGCAGAAGCAGGGCCCGGCCCGTGGACCTGGCCTTTCTGTGGGTGGGGTCTGCCATTGGCTGCCTGTGGCCCTCAGCGAGTCTGCAGCCTCACTTTCCCTTTACGGTGGCCTCCTTGTACAGGGCTGTCAGGGTGTGCAAGGCCACCCCAGAGGAGGGACCACATCCCCCGTGCCTGGCCCCGCACACCCTTGGATCCGCATGGCAAGCTCACAGCCCTGCGGAGCCCGTCTGTTGTGTCAGGCGTGGGCGGGTGAATGGTGCCCTGTGTGCCAAGCACGCAGTCCACACACAGCCCTGTGCTCTTTTTAGTTGTCAGCTCTTTGTTTTAGATGCTGGGATGAAGCCCAGGCCATCAAGTGCCCAACCACCAGGCCACACCTCAGCCCTTTCATTTTTTATAATTAGAGGGATCTCATGATGTTGCCGACACAGGGCACCCTCCTGCTTCAGCTTCTCACCTAGGCTCATAGGCCAGTGCCACGGGGCCTAGCTCAGCCCAGTTTCTGACCCTGAAAAATGGCAAGATTTTAGTCCGTCGGGCAGACTCCTGACAGCTACTGCTGCAGTGCGACCGGGTGAGGCGGAGTGCTGGCTCCCAGCTTGTGCCTCCTCCCCTGCCTGCCCCAGAATTGCCCAGGGCAGGACTGCAGCCTGGGACTGGGCTGGCCGGGTCACACACAGCCTCCAGCTTCTCCCTCCACCCACTTCTCTGTCAGGTGCCCCATGCCCGTCAACGCCCCGGAACCCCATACTTGCCAGGCTGACCTTGAGGCGAGACTGTCACACACAGAGGCCCTGCGTGTCACGTGGACATCAGATGTGTTGGGGACTTGACAGCAGTGGGTGCTGTCGCCAGCTCTGCAGGATGGCCCCAATCCCAGCTCCGCCGTGCCCAGCTGTGTGACCTTTGGAGCGCTTCCTCCCCTCTCTGTGCCTAAGGATTCTCTGGAGAGCGATGTGAGGGTGCAGCATTGGGCAGGTGCCTTGTCGAATCGAGCCCTTCCGCTTCTGCTCCCCAGCTTGCCTCACAGTGGCCCCAGTCTGCTGTCCGTGTGCTGTCTGTTCCTCCAGGCTGGAAGGTCACAGCTGGAGGTCCACAGGTGCCCGGTAGATGGGCGGCTCAATCCCCAAGTGCCAGGATTCTGCATGAAGCCCCCAAAGCTGTCTCGAGGGCCTGAGGTGTGGGGGGTTCAGACAGAACCACTGGCTTCAGACAGAGGGCGCTTGCTCCGCTCAGCCCTGCACCTGGTGCTTTCCTTCCTGCTGTTTTCTTTCCTGAGTGTGGCACCTGCTGGGTGTGAATGGGTGAGTTCCTGGTAGGTGTCTGGAGGCTGCTGGCGACCTGAGTGCCACCTTGTGCCTAGGGCACCTGTCCTGGCCACCAGTCTGCATGCCTCCTCTCGTGGTGATGGCGACCAGA